CTGGAACTTCCCGTACCATATATATATATTTTTTTTAAATATTTTTTTTAAATTTGAAAAACAGATTTTTGAGAACGTAAAACTTTTGAAAAAAATACCTTTTTGAAAGATTAGATTTAATAAATATTTTGAACTTTTTAAAATCAATCGCGTAACGTTAGCTGCGCAGAAACAAAATATCTAAGCGCGTGAGCGCCGCGTCGCAGTCAAACGGGTAAACAATGGTATGGAACCCATAGAACGCCAAACACAATTTATTTCTATTATTATTTATAAAATATATGATAATTTGATGTGCATATGTCTAATGAGCATTTTTGTCCGCCAAATGACTTTTCTTTTACTTCTTTTATTGGATCACCGAAATCACTAGACCTGCCTTTCCAAAAAATTTCAGATTTTAGTACGATATTAGAAGTCCTGCTTAAGACAAAGTGACACTTACGGCAAATATGGTCTCTAACAATACAGAACGACTTATTAGCATAATATTATTCAGTCAGATTTTCTGGCTAAAACAAAGTACTCCTTCGCAAAAGTAATAATAGGTTCAACTTCTCAATTTGAATAAGTTAATTAATTTTGAATCGAAATTAGGCTTTGAAATGAAAATAAATAGTTATTATAATTGAATATTTGAAATGTTGAGTTAAAATTAATTAGTAATAGAAATAATAATATAGGATATAAAAATAAAACGTTGTAGGTGTCTAAATGATACAAAAAAATGGAACCGTCGCCGGTTTCCAAAATTTGGGAACCGGTTCCAGAACCGGAACCGCGCTGGACCCATTTCCGGTTCACAGCTCTAAAATGTAATGTCTAGATTATTATTGCAAAAAGCAGCTGAGATGTGCCAGAAATTAAAATAATAAAAGATAGAGTATATGTTTGACATATAAAATTATATAATTCAGTCTGGCCAATTATTATTTTTAACTAGTGCATGTCGTATTTTGTCTTACTTATTCAAAAAATTAATAAAAAGTATCATTATGTTCAAATTTCATTTATTGACATTGAATACGGAATATTTACTCCAGTCAATGGAGCTGTTTGGGTCTGATTTTTTTACTGTGTTCCAATTTGCATAAAATTCTGGAACTAGGTTCATCTTACTCTCAAGTTTAAAAGTGAAAATGATTTGCCGCCACCCTCCGGGGGGTTGACACTCCTTCTCAGTGGTGTAATTTTATTATTTCAAAATAAAGTCGGATATCGATAAAAAACTATTATTAAGAAAAACATGTTTCGTAATGTTTTTTTTAAAAAAAGGTAAATACTTTTCAAATTACTGCACACTAAAAATTCGTTTTGTTTCGGCATTTTTTATCGTTTTTTTTTGCAAATATCTCTAATAATATACATTTTAACAAAAATCATGTATTGAATAAAATTATATTAATTTTAATCTCATTAAATTGGTGTTTTATAAAGTGTTCTAAGAACAATATCAAGCTAGATATGAAAATGGGGATTTAGAGTGCTCAAGATAAGCTTTAAAGTTAGTATTGCTAAGAGTCTTCTGCATGTAGAATGAGTGAGCTATCATGCAAATAAAAGACGCATACAATGTTTTTTTTTTCATTTAAATCAAATTGTTTTATAGTGCCATTTCCACCAAAATTAAAATTAATCGTATTTCATCCAGAATCAACTTGGTTCAAGAGATTTTGATGGATTCTTGATTATACCGCATACCTTATCATCATATCGTTAGTACAAGCGATATTCAAAAAACTCACGATTGTATGAAAAATTTTTTTTTAAAAAAAACAACTATTTTTTACTATATCTCAGAAATAATAAAAGATACGTATAAAGGTATATAAATGAAAATTAAAGGTTTTTTGCCAATTATCAGGCTTTTCAAGTTTTTTTGTTACAAAGTTACGGTAACATTTATGGTGAGGTAATTTGTTGCCCCTTTAATTACCTTTAAAATAGTATATTCAGAATTACAAGAGTTACAATCCAATTATTGCGGTGGCAATAACTTTCCCAGAGGGCAAATTGTTAGCACTTCTAAACTTAAGAGTAAGATTAGCCTATTTCTAAAATATCATGCTAATTGAATCAAAGTAAAAAAATTCACACGTTATGTCCAGTTACAAAACTAATTTTGTTGATCGTAGATTGAACAGAGCACATGCGAATAGGATTTGACATATAAAATCACTCAAAATATGAACTTAAGTAATAATGTATATTGAATTTTTAGTGAGAAAAATGAAATTTAGATATTAAAATTACTAAAAACCAGATGAAATATGGCACAAGATTTAAAAAATTATAGGCTACATTAATGAAGCGATTATCTTGGGTGGAAAATCAATGGTGGTATTGTACCTTTACCGCGGATGCTAAATATATCATTTTTTTCAGAATTTGATGTACTGTTTAATAGACTGCAATTTTCAATGTGCATATGCTATGTATTTATGGTTATAGCATAAGATCCACATGTTAAAAATTTAAATCTTTAAAAAAAAAATAACAAATTCAGAAAGAATTAATATATAGCATGCGCGGTAATGGTACTATATCATCTTGGATTTTTTTATCCAAAATAATTGCTTCAATAATTTTGCCTATAATTTTTATAATTTTGTACCATAATTTAACTGGCTTTTAGTATTTTAATATTCAAATTATATTTTTCTCACTAATAATTTAATATACATTATTACTTAAGTTCATATTTGAATTACATTAATTTGTCAAATCCTGTTCAAAATGTGCTCTATTCAACCTACTATCAACAAAATTATTGCAGTAAATGTAGAGGAAGAAAGCGTAAGCCCAGTGAATTTTTTCACTGTGATCTAACTTTCTTGAAATATTTGAAACATGCTAATCTTAATCTTAAGTTCAGAAGTGAAAAGAATTTGCACTCCGTTACACCCCCCGGATTAATTGGATTATAACTCTTTTAATTCTAATTTTATAATAACTTGTAATATATTTCTCTATCATAAAATTTAGCGTAACTTCTCTTATTTTAAAACGGCGGAGTGTTAACGGGCTCGAAAGGCCTCTGGTTGGACAGCCACGCACTCCTCAAACGATCATACCTCTATCAATATTTGTGTAATCTTGAATTTTCATATATATACTTTTATACGTGTTTTTTTCAGAGATATTATAATGAGAAATTTGTTGTTTTTTAAATGGATTTTTTTATGAAATCCTGAGTTTTTTGAAAATCGTTTATACTAAAGTTGTGGTATTTTCTAGAATCCATCAAGATCTCTTAAACCAAGTTAATTCTAGATGGAATACGATTATTTTTAATTTTTGTAGAAATGGCACTCATAAACTATTTGAGTTTTTAGAAGAAAAAAACATTGGTTGCGATTTTTATTTGCATGGTAGCTCACTCATTTTACACGCAGTAGTACTCATTTTAAAGCTTATTTTGAGCACTATGAAAACCCATTATCATATCTAGCTTAATATTGTTTCTAGAAAACTATAAAATAGCGATTTATTAAGATTTTAATTGATATAAATTTGTTCATTACATGGTATTAGTAAAAAACGATGAAAAACGTTATTAATAAGGAGTTTTGTAGTTATATGGTCCATGACATTTATATTTTTAGAGTTTGACAAATGTCACAGTCCACAGAAGAATGAAAATTATCAGCAGTACGAACTTGCATTATATTACATGATTTCATCATCCGAATACGCTTTCTAATGCATAGAAAGAAGTTTTTTCAGCATTCCAATATATATATACATTTTCAAGTACATATATTTTTAATTTTAATAATTTAAAATAATTTTGATAAACAAACCGTTCCTTTCATAAAAGATTTTTCTCCTAGCGAAATCTATTTTTCAACTGGGCCCTATTCCTTCCCTTTCCTATTTGATATTGCGTTTCTTGATCTTGAATAAAAAATCCAGATTCCGACGATCGTTGAGGCAGTACAGTGCAGTGAACGACTTGTAACGTATAACACATAATGCTAATATAGGTTTCTATATTTTATATTTTATAACACACTGATGATGAGACAAACCTAGTATCGAAACGTTTGTGAAATTATTATTTAATAAATAAGTGCAACAAAGAGTGTTGTTTGTTCATATTTCTAAATTAATATCCATCTATCCACTCAGAATACATTTGTCATATAAATATATGTATGTATATATATATATATATATATATATATATATATATATATATATATATATATATATATATATATATATATATATATATATATATAGGGTAGAAATAGAGTGGGGATTAAAGATCCGCGGGTGAAAATGTCTACTACCGATATCTCAAAAATTAATAAAGTTGATAAATTTTTAACAACAGCATTTTAAAGTAGCTGTAGTATGACCTTGATTCTTACAACACTGCTATCAGGAGAAAAACAGTACTGTTTGTAAATCCATATTTTGTTGTTAGTTTTTGTGGTCGAGAGCACTATTTCTTAGATTTATAAGAATAATTGTTAATTTTAAGTTAGATTCAACAATTTTTTTAATAACCTCTATAAAAGGTGACACCTGGGATAAGTAAATAGGAATATAAAAATTGCAAATAAAATTAAATTAGGTTGAAAAACAATTTTATCAAAAATATGTCGCCGCCTTAATTTACCCCATCTATGTGGTAAAAACAACCAGGTTAAATATTTCAAAAAACAGTTTGAAAGATTCGGAAAAAAAATCGGATAGAAACTAAAGTATTTCAAACTAGATATCGTTGTAATATCCACAGTTATGTCAAAATTAGTATTTATAGTAATTTATCGTGCAATAAAAGTACATAAGGAACAATTTCTAATTACTTTAAGAAGTGTATTAAGAATAAAATCTTTTTATAGTAAACCAACTAACTCGTTGCCATTATTATTGCTCTAACGTGTATTGAATATTTAGGTGATTAACGTAATTCAAATATAATAAATATGATAACTCACAAGTTGCTTATTTATATGGGTTAAATATTTATAAGAATAATTTAAACTAACAATTATTTTGCACTTTGGATACAGCTGTTTGATAGCAACTGCGACACCCGCAATGAGGCCCCCACCTCCTACTGGTACGACGACAGCATCTGCTTCACCAACTTGCTCACAAACCTCAAGGCCTAACGTACCTTGACCAGACATTATATGCGGATGATCATACCTAGAATTATACACGGTTTGCATTAATATACATGCACACGCACACATATAAATGTCTATATATATATGTAGCGACCTGTCAACACACGTCGCATTTCAACTTGACAGATGTACATTATTTTGAGCTCATCATAGTGTCAGCGCGAAAACAAAAAGTTCATTCCTCAGTTCGGATCTCTCTATTGTCTCTCATGTCGAAATGCCAAAATTATACTGTCAACACACGTCGCATTTCAACTTGACAGATGTACATTATTTTGAGCCTATCATAGTGTCAGCGCAAAAACAAAAAGTTCATTCGTCAGTTCGGATCTCTCTATTGTCTCTCATGTCGAACTGCCAAAATTATAATTCTTAACTTTTTTTCTTTTTAGTTATAAATACTCAAATAACATCTACGTTTTATAAATGATAAATATAATTACACATAGTGTTGTTACTATTGTCATAATAAACAAAATACGTAATATAAAGAACACGAGTTTCTTTACACACACACACTCACACACACACATATATATATATATATATATATATATATATATATATATAAATGATACAATATATATATATATATATATATATATATATATATAAATGATAAAATTGTTTCTTGATCCATCCAGTAATTAAAAACAGTTTTATTGAAGGAAAATGCTTTTATTCAGAGAACATACGTTTTGGGTCTTGATTTGACCCATCTTCAGTGCATACAAATAAATTTGAAAAAAAACACAAAAACACGAAATTGCACGAAAAAATAAATATGAAACAAAAAATTGATAAAACGTCGAGTTATGATAAATTTTAAAAAAATTGTAAAATTAAAATAAATAATATATTTTATTATAAAAAGCTTATTCCAAACGACCATGTTGTCAGCTTGGAATATATATTACGTGTCACGTACATTCAATGTGAAAGATGGAAGGATTTGACATGTTAAAAGTGCGGTTCACGTTTATCATATGTTCTGAAAGCATCGTTTTGAATTGATTTGGGTTTCTAGAATTATAACATATATGCCTACACATTCACATGAATACATATGTATTCACATGTACACAAAAGTATACATATACATATATATATATATACATGTAAAAACTCAAGTAATTTCTGCAACGACTTGTGTATAATACACTCTCCGAAGCGCATCTAAAATCTTTAAAAAGATTTTTAGGGGTCATTTAAAATTTGCTGTGTGGGTAGATAAGGATCGGGTTTCATAGCCGAAATTGAACTGGTAATGTTAGGCAAGGTTTGTTTAATCAGAATTAGTTTTGTTAAAAGAAGATAAATTTAGAAACATTATTGAGTATTATTTGATAGTTATCGCAGAGTGAGGAGGCATTATTTCTTTTGTTTATAGCGTAAATGTCTAATGTGATGAGACACGATTCTGCAAAACGTCTTTGAATGGTGTTCTGTGCGTGGTAGATAATACGGGTATCATAAAAATTAAAGAAGTGTTTGAAATTTAAAAAAAAAACTAAATTTGTGTACATAAATGTTAAAATCTAAGCACTGAATGAATTGTGTTTACAAAGATTTTTTAAAAAATGTTCAAACTGGTGAAAATGTATGCTTTCGGAATGTAATAAAAAAGGACACGCTTCATTCAGTAATTATGTTGTTTGGAAATTGGTCAAGAAATATCATTTAATCATTACAGAGCGAATACCTGTCAAGTCGCTTGTTGATTGCTTCAATGTTTAAATATATTAGACAACCTTCACTATATCTTCTTCTAAACATATTGGTTACAAAATGTAATATACTCGCTTTAAGTTAATCAACGGTACTCTAAATTTTCGGATCAAAATTAGATTTTAATTTAGTAAATAATGTTGAAGGATTGATGTCTGAGGTAAGGACTAATATTATATTATGTTTGGCAAAGTTTTTTTCGTGCATAGTAAATATCGTTTATAAAGGGTGAGGTAATAGTTGCTACGTAATTTTCGCGCTTTGAATTTTCAGTTGAAATGCTATCGGGGTTTTGTAGGCATAACGTTCTGTTTCTGGTTATGGATTGGATAAAATGTTGAGGATAAGAATTTTCACTTAAGATTTGTGATATAAGAAAACAGTATAACATGATCTATTAAGTTGTTAATGGCCCCTATTTTAGTTGAGAGAAGGTGGAAAAGTTACTCAACTTAAAATATTATTATATGTTAAGTAACTTTTTCATCAGTGTTTCATACGGACAAGACAGAATACAAGACGACATGACGAATATTACTAAGCTCTTACCACAAGACACGCAAATTACAACAAAAGACCTCAAAGTTCGTCGTCTTGGAAAACCAACTACAGGTAAAATCAGGCCATTATTAATTGAAACCCCATCCGAAACAACCGCTCGAATCTTAATAAAAACTAAACATCCAAATGGGGTTTCTATGAAACATGACATGACGCCCAGACAATTAAGTCATCTGAAAATGCTGCAAAACGAACTAAACTCAGATATGGAAAATGCAGACAAAATGATTGAATATATAAACCGTGTCCCTAAAATAGTGAAGCTACACTCCTTTTGCGGGTCAACGCAGGAACGAACATCTTGAACGCGGCTTATTAATCTACTATCAAAACACTAGGGGTCTTAGAACAAAACTGAACACATTTCGAGCGTCATCCTCTGTGAGTGTGAATGATGTAATTTGTGTTACAGAGTCATGGCTAAAGTCTGATATTGCTGATGGCGAGGTAATCGACAACACATATGCGATTTTTAGGTGCGATAGAGATCAAATCAGTGGAAAATATCAAAGAGGTGGTGGTGTATTCGTGGCAGTGAAGCGGAGTTTTTCAACGGAGTTAATTGCACTTCCTAATAATAATATTGAACAAGTCTTTGTGAAAGTTAAAACTGCACCACATGACCTAATTATCTGCTTTGTTTACCTACCTCCTAAATCAACCGTAGACATTTATAAAGAGCACATATCTGCAATAACATCAATATCCGAAAAATACTCAAAAGCAAGTATATTAATCGCAGGTGATTATAATTTACTCAGCAGCCTACAGCAAGAGCATTGTTCGTGCTTGATTTATAAAGAGTTGTCACTACTAAACTATCGGCAATTTAACAACATCCAAACTCACAGTGAAAAAACGCTTGACTTGTGCTTCAGTAATATACATGCAACTGTAGAGCGTTTTCATGCTTTAACTCATAAGGACGCTCATCACCCAGCATCACTCATGAGGACGCTCATCACCCATCTCCTTCCAAAAGAGACTACTACATACCAATTTAATATAGCGAATTATGCTGGCCTGAATGACTATTTCTTTAACACTAATTGGATCGATTTATACAAGACAACTAACATTGATGAAAAAATAGATAAACTATATAAAGTAATAAATAATGGTTTGTTACAGTTTATTCCGCTCCTATCCTCCAAAAACACTAATTGTCCCAGATGGTTCTCAAAAGAACTCATATCCATCATTAAACTTAAAAAAACTCATACAGAGTACAAGAAAAATATATTCAGATCCACATATAATGAATTCTGCCAACTAAGGTATGATTGCAAGAAATTGAGCAAATTTTTGACATTATTCAAATACACCTGACACTTCGACTTGGAATGGTTTAGTGGCTTATGAAGGAGAAAATATTGCAAACCTATTTGCATCTTTTTTCAAAAGTACTTATGCATCTAGCATTAATAAAACTACATCTAACGAATATGAGGAGGTAGCAAATACCATCGACGCCGATCTCTCAAACGTAGATGTGAGTTTTGATGAAGTATATAATCAACTGTTAAAATTAAATGTAAGAAAAGGAGCCGGTCTAGATGGATTACCTAATACACTTCTCGTAAATTGCGCCGCCAGCCTCCGTAAACCACTCACACACATCTTTGCTAAATCCTTACAATATGGTAGTTTCCCGTCAGCTTGGAAATCAGCTTATATAACACCAATCCATAAATCTGGATCTAAACCAACAGCCGATAACTATCGTCCCATTTGTATCCAATCTGCTATTTCTAAGTTGTTCGAAAAATTAGTGCCACTAAAATTGTCGTGGTCTTTTAAAAATATCATAACCACAAAACAGCACGGCTTTTGTGGTGGCAGATCTACAACAACAAATTTACTATTATATACAGAACAAATATTAGGCGCAATGAACAACGGCCTGGATGTCCATATAATCTACACAGACTTCAGTAAAGCGTTTGATTTCGTCGCTCACAATATTCATTGTTAAGGAAGCTCAGAGGCAAAATGTTTAAACTGGTTTATATCTTACTTAACAGGCAGGCATCTACAGGTGGGGCTAGATGACCATTTATCTGAAAAATACGAAGCGATATCTGGTGTACCGCAAGGATCACACTTGGGACCAATATTATTCAATATTTTTATTAATGACATAGGCACTGACTTCAATTCTGATTACCTTTTATAAGCAGATGACCTCAAAATCTATAAAACTATAAACTGTAATGATGACAGATTATCGTTACAACAAGACATTGCGTAATTAAACAACTGGTGTATAAGTAATAAACTTAAGTTAAATGCTAAAAAATGCGCAGTGATGATACTATCTCGATCCCACATTAAACTTAAATTTCAATTCAACAAGATTACTATTTAGAAAACCAAAAAATAATTTCAGTGACTTCTATAAAAGACCATGGAATTATTTTTGACACCAAATTAAACTTCTCATAGCATATTATTAAAATCTCCCTTCAAGCCCTACAAACACTTAGCTTCATCATCAGGAGTGGTCGAGATTTCCACAGTACAAACACACTATACATTCTGTACTCCACACTCGTCAGGCCTATTCTAGAATATAACTCCATAGTTTGGACACCTCACACTGAATTATCAAGCAACACACTTAATAGAGTGCAGAGGAAATTTGGAAAATACCTTAAGCACTTTGCGCAATCGAAAAGAATTAGTGCACATGAAAGCGAATTTTTTTTACTGAAATGCGAGGACAATAAC